ATCATGCCAGGATGATTATTTTTGCAGGAACTATCCCATTAAGACACTATTTATATACCCTAGTATTTATTGTGTACTCCCAAGGAACTTACCATGATGCATGTCCAAAAACCTGATAATACCAAGGTACTTTCTAGAAAAAGTGCCGTCAGGTTTCTTTGAGTTCAGGTCAGGCTGCGCCTTTCTGGCACAGACATGAAGTCCACACCTGGAGATCATTTGGGCGGGTGAGTTTATTAAGGAAAATGACTCAGACGTATTATTATTGAAGGTTTTTTGGACATGTATCATGGTAGCTCGGAGAAACAAGTAAATATCATGGTATATAAATACAGTAATCATTCAGTACCATGGCATTAGTACCATCTCCATGTTCAGATGACAGATTAAAGACGTCATTCTAGCCCACTTATGAATAATATACATATATATATATATATATATATATATATATATAAATAATAATATACATGGGAAGTCGTGGCCTAATGGTTAGAGAGTTGGACTCGTAACCCAAAAGGTTGCGGGTTCGAGTCTCGTACCGGCAGGGATTGTAGGTGGGGGGAGTGAATGTACAGCGCGATATTTATGTAGATCGGGGGCGCATTCCCTTCAGAAACACTGTAATCCACTGCGCCTTCAGCGGCTCAGATGTCAGGAGTAAATGGCGACTGCTGTTCATTATTACATCCAACAACAAAACACCTCAATCGCTTAGGAGTCATTCTTGTCTACATCTGCTCCGGCGGTGAAACAATGGCGGACTGATGACAGCTCACTCAGGGCGGAGCTAAGTTAAGATCAATCAAACTATCGTGGGAGGGGCCTGTCTCTGTGACGTCATACAGACAGGCATCTGAGATCGGCTCGATTTAACCAGATTAAAAAAAAAAACACTGGGTGGATTTTTATCATTATAGGGTGGTTGTGTACACACACTGCCAACACACATTTCAGTTCAAACAACTTGTAAAAGTGCATGTAGCATCCTATGACCCCTTTAATGCAAAGAGAAGCGTCTGATATACAGAGCTAGCTGGTTTCTCCAATCGTCTGCGTGCGTTTGTGGACCCTGTAGGTCACGGAGTGGAAAAATGACAAGCTTTTCAGAAAATGGAATTAGTTTTTGTTTCCAAAATCGCAGATCTTCCAGTAACAAGCTGATTTTTCCAATGCAAAAAAAATAAAAATACTCCATCACAGTTTTGTATAGTATTGTACAGCCGAGTGAACAGGGTTAATAATCAAACACATTAACTTAAACTGCTTTGGGATTCTGAGAAGTCATTAATAGATTAAAAACTCACAGCCAGTAACAATAATGTGCAAATGAGTTGTATTGATTAATCCGAGGGTCTTCCAGCCGGATCAAATGTGTGTGCATGCAGTGTTTTTTCTCTTTAATCTCCTCACAGGAGAGTGTTAAGTCTTGAAGAGCTCTTGAGGTTGAATGGACAGTCAAAACACAGATGCACTTGAGCGGTTCTGGACGACTTTCAACACTTTACGTTGCTTTTCCCACCAATGAACAGAGCTCCTGTAGCAAATGCATATGCTTTCCTCTAATGCACTGTCTGTCTGTTTTTGATCAAACCTTTCAATGCGGAAAAGAAACAACACAAATGTCAGCATTTTCTCAAAGCAATGAGATTAAGAGCAGAGCAAACAGAGTCTGCTGCTTTCCTCCTGAGAAAAAAACAACCAAATAATCTAGAGTTTCAGAGGAAATCTCAACAATATGTCACACATCTCAAAAATATCTAACTCCAATAAGTCTCCTGAGCTATGAGAAAGCAACATTTGTGCAATAAAATTGTCCTCCTATAAAATAAATTTCTGAAACTATCAGCCAAAAGCACTTGATATTAAAAAACTGTCCTAAAGTAAATATAAATGGTGTCCACAAACCATTTTACTTAAAAAAAAATACTTAAACAAATGATTGAAACTATCAACCAAAGCACTTGATATTAATAATAATAATAATAATAATAATTATTATTATTATTATAAAGCCAACATAAACAGTGATCCCACAAAACCTTTTTACGTGTGCACTGTGTTGTATTGCTTAGTGAAACAGAATAAATAATTAGGAAAACATACAGAAGAAATTACAAAAAATTAATTACCAAAATTATCAACCAACGGAATATTACAAAACTGCCCTACATTGGAAAAAATTACATTTCAAAGTTGTTAATAAAATAAAGATCATTAGAGTATATTTTACAAGAAAATACTATTTTAGTTTTCTACTTTTAAATTAATGTTTCAGAACGAAAATGGTTTTTAAAACCATTTCAACATAAACAATGTTCATGAACCAACTCACTACTAGTTAAAATATCCCAATATGGAGATGTAAACAATAAGCAAAGTCAAAAACAAAAACAGATGCTTATTTTTCTTTTAAATAACGCATCGATTAATAATTTAATCACATACAACCAGGAACATATTTTTTTTTTTTTAAAGTAAATGTTGACTAAATAATATATCTTTCATATGTTTTATATATATATATATATATATATATATACACTACCGCTCAAAAGTTTGGGATCAGTAAGACTTGTAATGTTTTTTAAAAAAGTCTCTTCTGCTCATCAAGGCTGCATTTGTTTGATCAAAAATACAGAAAAAAAAACAGTAATCTTGCAAAATGTTATTACAATATAAAATAATGGTTTCTATTTTAATATCCTTTAAAATATAATTTATTTCTGTGATGCAAAGCTGAATTTCCATCAGCTATTACTCCAGTATAAAGTGTCACATGATCTTCAGAAATCATTCTAATATGCTGATTTATTATTAGAATTATCAACAGTTGTGCTGCCAAATATTTTTTCGGAAACTGTGATACTTTTTTCAGGATTCTTTGATGAATAAAAAGTTAAAAAGAAGAGCATTTATTCAAAATATAAATATTTTCTAACAATATAAATCTTTGCCATCACTTCTTAACAATTTAACACATCCTCGCTGAATAAAAGTTTTAATTGCTTTCAAAAAAAGAAAGAATAAAAATTTACTGACTCCAAATTTTTGAACTGTAGCGTATATTGTTAGAAAATATTTCTATTTTAAATAAATGCTCTTCTTTTTAACTTTTTATTCATCAAAGAATCCTGAAAAAAGTATCACAGGTTACAAAAAAAATATGAAGCAGCAACAGTTTCAACACTGATAATAAATCAGCATATTAGAATGATTTCTGAAGATCATGTGACACTGAAGACTGGAGTAATGATGCTGAAAATACATATTGCATATTGTACATCAAATGTACATTAAAATAGAAAAACATTATTTTACATCATAATAATATTTCACAATATTAAATTTTTTCCTGTATTTTTGATCAAATAAATGCAGCCTTGATGAGCAGAAGAAACTCCTGTAAAACATATTAAAAATAGTTCTGATCCCAAACTTTTGACCGGTAGTGTGTACATACACACACACACACACACACACACACACACTCACGTTTCATTAGTCTTTTCTTTGCATTCCTAAACCTTGTTGAGTTTCTTCTAGGCTGCATAAGCTGTCGATCCACGACCCTGACCCTGATCCGCAGGCCTTTGACTGCTGGAGCCACTGGAGCGCAGACGAGATCAAAGGGTCACGTCCAGAGAGAATCTAATTATAACTGACACTTCCTGTCTTACAGCGAAGCCCTTCAGCTGCGTCTCCTTCCGCTCCGGACCCCTCAATGAGCCGTCGCCCCGGGTTACGTCTGCCGAGGGGCCAAGAACGCCAGCGACTAAATGATTGTCCGGCTCCCAGAGAGAAAGCAGACTCAGACCAGAGCGGGACAGGAAGAGCTCCTCTCAAAGGGGAAGTGCAATTTTGAGCTCTGAGGAGCGTGACCTTTTGAGGATTTGCTCAGAGCTCAATTTAACTTTAAAACCACTGCGCTGACCTCTGATATTAGCACACTGACATACAAAACACCAACAGCCTGCTGGGAAAACCACGTCACAGCAGCTGCATTGACCAGATAATCCAGTTCCCTACCAAAGGTGCTCTACCAGCTTTAACCAGCTGACCAAGACCAATTGTTCAATCACCTAAACTAACTAAACTAACGCCGAATGAGAAATGTTTTAAAGCTGACTTTAAATACTGTGAATACAAATCTGGAATGGGAATTTGATTCATATGTACCGGGGATTCCCAAGGTTTTTCTTCTTTTTTTTTTTTTTTTGTCAGCCGAACTCCTTAGATGTAAAATATTTACTTGAAGAACCCTCTGTGATTTTAGGTTAACATATTAATAATTTGAAATAAATATTTTGTTGTAATACATATTATAATATACTAAAATATTTTATTTTGTTTTTATTTAAAAATTATTTAAGTATTAATTATTTATTAATGCATTTTTAAGATTTAATTAATTATTAGCCCCACCCAAACCTAAACTCAGTGTTGTTATTGTAAACTAAAACTAAAACCTTTACGAATCATTTTTGGTAATTGAAATATATCTAAATAAAATTAAAACATACATATTAGATAATAAAAATAAAATGTTGCCTTGGCAACTAACAAAAAGTTTAAGTACTAAAATTACTAAAACTACAACTGAAATAAAAAATTATTAAAGCTATATATAAAAACTAATAAAAATGACACAAATAATTTACTAAAACTTAAATTAAAATGGAAATATAAAAATAATTTTTATAATAAAATATTATTAGAATGAAAACAATTTTTAACAAATACTAAAATAGCATGTAAATAATACTAAAATAACACTGTTTAACCCAACTAATAACCATCTCCAACCAACTATAAACCATGCCAAACCAGATTCCAACTTAAGCTGGATTTTCTTTAATTTCCTGCTGTTAAATAACAAACGTTTTCAAACAGACTTGTACTTTCATTAAAAATGTGAAATGGGACTTTAACTGGAATCTCATTCATATAAATGGATCGAGAGTAGATTGAACTGATGGCAGATGTAACTGAGCACCTACTCCAGGAAATCCGTGATGTATTTGCGGCTGCATTTGGACCAGGACCAGGGGCTGGTGTCGTAGTTGAGGGTCGGGGCCATGACGTGGTACTGATGCTTGATTCCCGCCTCGCGGCACTTCGGACTGTCATCATGAGGCATGTTGAACCTGAAACACACACAACAAACAGTTCAGCAGATGCTTCTCACAAACACTTCAGGACATTTGTGTTTCTGCACTTCCACATATGAGGATATGAGAAATATGAAAGTACTGCAATTGAATCATGGTAAAACTATGATCATAGTATGGTAACTGGATAAATAGCATCATTACCATATTCAAAAGCTATAATTATTTTAAGATACTTCAAAGAATGGCACATAGTAGGACCACGGTATTGTGTATGGAAGCTTATTTCCTCCGCGGAATAAAAAAATTAAAAAGGTAATTCTGACTTTTTTTACTTGCAAGTCTGAGAAAAGTCTGAATTGTGGGGGAAGAAAGTTGAATAACTTTTTTTATTATTATATGTAGATGATTATATGTATTATTCTGAGATGTAAACTAAGAATTCCGAGAAAACTCAAAATTGCGAGACGTAAACTTAGATTTCTGAAAAAAGTAAAAATTGAGATGTAAACTCAGAATAAAAAAAAAAAGAATTTAAAATTACGAGATGTAAACTCAGAATTCCAAGAATAAAATCTAAAAATTGCGAGATGTAAATTCATAATTCCGAGAAAATAAAAAATATCTAAATTGCAAGATGTAAACTTACAGATTTCTGAAAAAAGTAAAAATTGAGATGTAAACTCAGAATTCCAAAAAAAAAAAGAATTTAAAATTACGAGACGTAAACTCAGAATTCCAAGAAAACAACTCAAAATTGCGAGATGTACATTCAGAATTCCGAGAAAAAAGTCAGAACTACGAGATGTAAACTCAGAATTCTGAAAAAAGTAAAAAATTGAGATGTAAACTCAGAATAAAAAAAAAAAAAGATTTTAAAATTACGAGATATAAACTCAGAATTCCAAGAAAAAAATTAAAAAATTACGAGATGTGAATTCATAATTCCGAGAAAATAAAAATATCTAAATTGCACGATGTAAACTTAGAATTCCGAGAAAAAAGTAAAAATTGCGAGATGTAAATTCAGGATTTTGAGAAAAAAAATCAGAATTGCAAGATGTAAACTCAGAATTCTGAGAAAAAAAATCAGAAGTGTGAGATATAAACTCAGAATTCTGAAAAAAAAAGAGTTGTGAGATGTAAACTCAGCATTCTGAAAAAAAATCAGAATTGCAAGATGTAAACTCAGAATTCTGAGAAAAAACTCAAAATTATGCGATGTCAATTCAGAATTCCGAGAAAATAAAAAATTTTGTAATTACGAAATTACAAAATTTTTCCTTTGAATTGTGTTATATATTGTGTATAAAAAGTCAAAAAGTCACTATTACATTTTTTATATTTTTTACCATAATTTTGTGTCAATGCTGTAATATGTGCGACTGTCAACAGGACATGAAACCTCTTTTTATTACAGACAGGAAGAGTCCAGCAATAAAATCTTAAAATAAACGCTGCATTGAGGCGAATCTGATGTCAGAGTCCAGAAACAGCTGTGAAATCAGACACACGACAACTACAGCACGACGAGGAACGCAGCTGTGTTGATGCACATCCTTCAGACTCCATCTGAGAGGCTTCATCTGCACGTTAAAAACACATTTCACATGTTACATTCGTGAAATACTTTTGCTGTCCGAATCGGTTTCATTTCATGAACATCTGTGCCGCTCATGTAAAGAGCTTGAGCAAAAAATTAATCTTTTCTCATCATTTATTCACACTTAAATCATTCAAACCCCATTTCTTCAGTGGACAATGTTCACACTGCTTTTATTACACTTTTATAGAAATGTTTTGTCATTTTTTAGACCTGGTCCATATCCAGTTTTGTTGCATGGAAAGAGCAGGTTTGGAACAACATGATGACAAATTGATGACAAAAGATTCATTTTTAGGTGAACTGTTCCTTAGAAAAGTCTTGTCTTGCTCTGTGGAGTCAAAAAGCTCGTCAATGTCGAGTTTTGGACAGAGAAAGTGAGATGCCAGATGTTCTGCATTGCATCAAAATAAAAGGATTTTCGGCTATGAAACAAATGAAAGATCAAATGTTACAGCCTACTGGAGTCATGTATCAGCGTTAAAGACTCGTGAATCGTTCTTAATGGATCTGAATAACCTCTGACTGATTTAAACACTGACAAAATGATGCTCTTCCACAGTATTTTTGTCTTGATTTCCAGTACAAATATCTAAATACTCTTAAATCAAGACACATTGTTACTTGTAAGTTACTTGAGATATTAAGTCTTGTTTTCTGAAAAATATATCAAAATGAAGTGAGTTTATGCTAGAACTAGAAAAAAAAATTAGCAAATGGTGCCAGAAAAAATAAATTAATTCAAAGGGAAAACAAGCTTATTTTTCTGACCCCATTGGCAGATATTTGTTCTTGTTTTAAGCAAAAACTCACTTAATTTTGATGCATTTTTCAGAAAATAATCTATATCTTGTAATTTTGCTACTCAATTAAATGTATCTTTATTTATGAATGTTTACATATTTGTGCTGGAAAACAAGACAAAAATACTACAAAAAATGTTCATTCTTAGTATGTTTGTCTTGCTTTAATGTCTAAAATCAACATGAATTTACTTAAGAAACAAAATTACTTACAATATTAAACCTTTTTTTCCTGAAAAAAAAAAAAATGCATCAAAATTTAGTAATTTTACATTTAAAACAAGAAAATCTGCCAATGGGCTCAGAAAACAACTTTAACTTAATTTAAAGTGTATGTTTCTTTGAATAATTTTGCTTCTAAAGTAAATATATTTTCATTAAAAAAAAAATTTATTTTACTAAAAATACTGGGTACACTGTGAAAATTATTTTCTTACTGAGCCTTGTTTTTTAGTTTTCCAGTCCAAATATCTAAACATACTTAAATTAAGATTCATATTAAGATTAATTTACCTGATAAGTAAAATGACATAAAATATAAAGTCTTGTTTCCTGAAAAACAAAAATGCATCAAAACTAAGTTAAGACTTTGGGGTCAGAAAAATAAACTTAATCCAAAGAGAAAACAAGTTTATTTTTCTGATACCATTTTTCTTGATGCTGAAAATTCAGCTTTGATCACAGAAATAAATTACATATTCAAATATATTCAAATACAAAGCAGTTATTTTAAATAGTAAAAATATTTCACAATATTACTGCTTTTGCTGTATTTTGGATCAAATAAATGCAGGCTTGGTGAACAGAAGAGACTTCTTTAAAAAACATTAAAAATCTTACTGTTCAAAAACTTGACTGGTAGTGTATAGGCAACTTAAATTTTTCTCTTATTTCTAGCTTTTAATTGGAATAAGAAATCAGATACACTGCTGACAATGACCAATAATAATGATTTGTTTATATACTACAAACACTTTTTTAATCACATAAGGCAGAATAGCTTCTATACTGTAATATATGCTATGTCAGTTAAGCACTGCATTGTTCATATACTTTATTTATTACCTGGCGATGACTTGAAAAACACAAATAAACAATATATTATCGAAATCGTATGTTTAATGTCTTCATGTTTCCAAACGTTTCTGTTTTTCTGTGAAAACAACTGCTTTCATACAGCGAGAGCTGGACGCTTTTGTCCATATTAGGAATTTCCTGGTTCGACTTTCTGCGCGAGAGCGCCCGGTTCGAATAAAACATCAGATCATGCACAGACTATCCTGTCTCTTTGAATTTAAATCTATATTTATTCACACCGGCTCTT